GAAGAAATCGATAGGGGATTTTTGTTGTGGTCCTAACTGTTTAAAAGTTTGACCAAGATGAGATTATAAGAACGACCCTAACTATTTAAAGGTCTAGTCGCTCGATTTGGAAGTGGATCTCTCGTTCATGGAAGGAATCGAGAGGGGATTTTGGTTGTGGTCCTAACTATTTAAAAGTTTGACCAAGATGAGATTGGAAGAATGACCCTAACTATTTAAAAGTCTAGTCGCTCGATTTGGAAGTGGACTTCTCGTTCATGGAAGGAATCGAGAGGGGATTTTGGTTGTGGTCCTAACTGTTTAAAGGTTTGACCAAGATAAGATTGAAAGAACGACCCTAACTGTTTAAAGGTATAGTCGCTCAATTTGGAAGTGGACCTCTCGTTCATGGAAGGAATCAAGATGGGATTTTGGTTGTGGTCCTAACTATTTAAAGATTTGACCAAGATGAGATTGAAAGAATGACCCTAACGGTTTAAAGGTCTAGTCACTCGATTTGGTATTACACCCTTGTAATGGTGAAACCCTAACGAGCTCCTGGTTTTCTGCACGCACCCTCAATCGGGTGGTTACAAGAATAGTCTTGTTAGGAGGTCATGTATGACCCCCAGTCTAAAGAGTCGCTCGTGATTTATTCGTTGGACCCAAGCGTTCTTTGATAGGAGTTTTGCCTCGATCTTTGTGTAGAAGACTCATGCAATCCTTCAACAAAATCCTGAATTTGGAGAGATCCACGCTGCTATAGGGCTTCACCGGAGGTGCGGGAGCAGGAGGAGCGGGATTTGAAATTGATGAAGGCTGGAGAGCAGCCTTGGAACTGGAATTGAGTGAGAGACACGACTGGTATCTCTTGTCGGGTAGAGACATTGTTTTGGCCTTCGGCACCCAAACCTGCTTAGGTCTTGGTAGCTCTTTGACCACCTCTTCTTTTTTGCAATTCTTGTGCCTTTCGCACAAGGATCCAGGCATGTGCAAGAAGCACGCAGTGCTTTTGGATGCACTCCTCGAGACTAGAACAGGTTCTTTTGACACGAACCCATTTGTTAGTCGGCGGTTGGGAGAAGGATCCTGATGCTTGTTGCGGTGATGTTTTAGCCACTTGGCGCCTTCTAAACTCTAGATCCGCTTGGTAGCGGAGTCCATCCACCTGTTCTAAAGCATTGGCGAATTGTCGGGCAAAACTTTGGCGGCGCCTCTGGCGAGCCCTCTTCGTCAGCACTGGTGCGCCCTCGACAATCAACTCCTTGACCTTTAAGGAGTTATCATGAACGTTAGATCCTGCTTTTCTATAGGTCGGAGAGGAGGCTTTAATAGCATTCAGGCGAAGATTTTTCACCCTGAGTTTTCAGATCTGAAGGCCAATTAACCTTCTTCACAAAAGTGATCTTCCTACGCTTGCAGTGAGAGAAAGATCTGGAGGAGGAGGAGGAGGAGACGTACTCCTCGAACTTTTGCTGGTCAAACTCGTATTCGACCTCTTCATCCACCAGGATCTTGATCAGCGGCTGTGACACAACAGCCTCGGCAGCGAGGTTGTTGGCTCTCACTGTGATCGCCAACGTATTTCGATGGAAAGTTGGTTCTGGCATTAACGGACTCATCACAACTTTAGTCATTATAATGATCTCAACAAATAAAAATAAAAATTATAACTTTCTGAAAACACACACAACGGACGTTTATCACCCGCTGTTTGCGTGGGATCTTAGTCTGTGCTGGGGTTTATCCGTAGACCACCAACTAATCAGATCAAATATAAAGATTTTGTTGTCTCGAAAAGGAGACAAGAAACTAAAGTAACTATCTCAGTAAAGCGAGATAATCACTCTTCTCGAGAATTACAGCTAGGTACGATCTCAAGGAAATGGATGAACGGGTGCAGATCTCTCAAACTCTTCCTCTTTATGTTGCGCCAAGATCACTTTCTCCTCTCTGAAATTCGTGGCTCCTCACTCTTCAATTCGACAGGGCTTCGTCGATACTTCAAAATTTCAAATTTTTGTAAATGAAGGCCCTAGGACTGTATCTATAGGCTTCAGAAGCTTAGTTTTCGGATAAGAACGAACGATTTGATCTTATCCTTAGTTGTAACCACTTAACCACGTTCAAAGACAACTCCAAATTAGTTGAAGAGGCTTTGGATTAGAATTGGGTCAGTTAACATTGAAGAAACGGTGAAAAAATTAGCAAAAACAGGATTGAGACAGCCTTCTCGGGGCCGGGACAGTCCTTGGCCGAGACGTCGTTTTCCCCTTTTTGACTGTTTTTATCGTAACTTTCCGATCCAGTTTCGGAACGATGTGATTCAAAGTGCGTCAGAAAGCCAGGAAAAATATCTACAATCTCCCATGGGTGAATCATACATGGAGTGGACGAGACACGAATGGCACCTCATCTTTTGTGAGTTAAACATAATTCCCGATTAGGTCGTTTTTTGCTAATATGTCGTCCTGTTGATTCATACGCTTCGTTGACTCATTTCATTCACTTGTCGATGTCAAATAATCCTCCTTGACTCAGATAATGATGTTCATCATCTTTTATTCATCTCGAACTGCATGCGGGAACCCGTAGGCAATTTTTAACGCCTACAATATTGGTTCTAGATGCTACGTTAATTCTAATTGATTCAATGTTAGTTCTAGCTTATATACAGCCAATTCTAGCCAATCTCGTGTTAGTTCTATCTCCAGATCATATTATTTCTATGGTAAGTATTGGTTCTAGATGCTACGCTAGTTCTAATTGATTCAATGTTAGTTCTAGCTTATATACAACTAGTTCTAGCCAATCTCGTGTAAGCTCTACCTCCAGCCCGTGTTATTTCTATGGAAAGTGTTGGTTCTAGATATTACATTAGTTCTAATTGATTCAATGTTAGTTCTAGCATATGTACAGCTAGTTCTAGACAATCTCGTGTTAGTTCTACATCCAGCCCACGTTATTTCTATGGTAAGTGTTGGTTCAATGTTATTTCTAGTTGATTCAATGGTTTTTCTAATGCGTAAGCTTTGTTGGATTGGATGTAAATCCCAAGCCTCTTACCTTTCATGTTTTGTTCTTTTCGGCAACAAAACCAATCAAAGAACAAATCTTTTATGAGTCAGGGCTCAATTTGTTATTAGTGGAAGACTCAAATATTATGAGCAAGTTGTAAAGAATATATAGGTGTTGGAGGTAACATAGCCACTAGAAATTATAATAACTAAGGTAGAACTAACATGGCCACTAGAACCATAGAATTACACTAGAACTAACGCTAGATGGAGTTAGAACTAATACGAGAATAGCTAGAAATAACAAGGCAGTAGCTAGAACTAATAATAACTCAGCTAGAACTAACATGGGTACTAGAACCAATACTTACACTAGAACTAATGCTAGATGGAGTTAGAACTAACATGAGTACAGCTAGAACTAATACTACAACAGCTAGAACTAACAATAACTAAGTCAGAACAAACTTGGCCACTAGAACCAACACTTACACTAGAACTAACGCTAGATGGAGTTAGAACTAACACGAGAATAGCTAGAAATAACAAGGCAGCAGCTAGAACTAACAATAACTCAGCTAGAACTAATATAGGTACTAAAACCAACACTTACACTAGAGTTAACGCTAGATGGAGTTAGAACTAACACGAGTACAAATAGAACTAACATCACAATAGTTAAAACTAACAATAACTAAGTTAGAACTAATATGATCACTAGAACCAACACTTACACTAGAACAAATGCTAGATGAAGTTAGAACTAACACGAGAATAGCTAGAAATAACAAGACAACAGCTAGAACTAACAATAACTCAGGTAGAACTAACATAGCCACTACAACCAACACTTACACTAGAGCTAACGCTAGATAGAGTTAGAACTAATACGAGAATAGCTAGAACTAACATCACAACAGATAGAACTAATAATAACTAAGTAGAACTAACAATAACTACGCTAGAACTAACATAGCCACTAGAACCAACACTTACACTAGAACTTACGCTAGCTAGAGCTAGATCTAACACGGGAACAGTTAGAAATAACAAGGCAACAACTAGAACTAACAATAACTCAGCTAGAACTAACATAGACACATAAGCTTATTTTTATTATGCCAGAAGTATTCTGACATGCTCCAAAATAGATATCATTAAAGGAAAGAAGTTACATGGTTTCGCCTCGCATTGTGAGAGCGATCAGATCTACTGATCCAGAGTGAGGCATCCCTTACTCTTACAAAAGGAACTAAAGTACAAAGTTCTATAACAAAAGACTTGTGAGCTTTAAAATATGTTCTGACATGCTTCAAAATTCAAAAATGCTCTGACATACTCCAAAATGCTCTGACATGCTCCAAAATGCTGAAGACATGCTCCAAAATGCTCTGACATGCTCTAACATTCCTCAAAGTTCTTCGAACATGCTACAGGCTATTACTTTTTCTATTCATGGAAAACATTCATGAGTTGTGCACAAGAAAGAATTTAATTGAACGAAAAATAAATATTACAAGATGAATTCTCAAGTAACTTACCAACATCGGGCAACCAGTCTTATAGTGACCCAATTATTGATAATTCCACATTTTTGATATTTTCCTTTTTCGATTGTGACTCATCAATTCCTGACTCGTACCTGCTAGCACCTCTTGGACGACCCTTTGTTTTGACTGGGCCACTAGGATCACGAATTAAAATTTCTCCACCATCTCTCAATACTATATTTGCATTTGAACTAATTTGGCTTCTAATTTGAGAGTTTGCAATATGAATATCATTAAGCTTTACTTCCTTCTCAACTGATACAGTGATATCTTGTAGCATTCTCTCCACCATAGAAATAGCATTTGCTGAACATGAAGCCATCTCAAGGGTAGCATTGAATCTGGCTCGAATTGACCATAATCTAATAATATCACACTGCTCCATGCTACCTTCATTGCTTCTTACATCCATAACATTAAAAAATCTAATGTTTTTGTACCTTGCATCAATTTTTCACCTTTGCAATATATAATTATCAGGAATAGCTGTCAACTGAAGAAGCAATATGATATGCAATATATGCCTACAAAGGATCCCATCAGTTTCAAAAAGTGCACAAGAACACTTGACCGTAAGCTCTCTAGATTTGTCATATGTAACTTCTTCCCATTTCTCTCTTTCTTCAGAAAAAACACCAACTAGATAAATTATTTTTGGCTCTTCCTTTAGCATTTCTTCATGAAAAAGTGATAACCCATTAGTAAGCTCATCTTGGAATATTTTGAAGATCCCCCTAGTATATAACTTGCTAACTTTCACTTCAAGTGGATGTCGAAGGCACATTGCAAGCACGGTATTCAATGTCATAAAGTCTTCTCGAGATTCAGATGCATGGTGATTTGCTAAGGCTTTGTTATATTGGCATACAAAGTCCACAAGCCTAGTATTTGTATTTACATAACCATCAAAAAATGCATTGATACTTTCACTCCTCTGACTAGTTGTCATTCCTGCCCAAAATATGTCTTTCAAATATGCATCTACCCAGTGTGCATGCAATCTATACATTCTCGTTAGCCAACTATCTATATTCTCATCTATATTAAATTTCTCCTTCAAAATCTTCCAACGTTCCTCACAATTGTGAATAGTGCTAGCTCGGTACCACTTATCAAAATATGTAGAAATTTCATCTTCATATTGTGCTTTCATTAGAAGTTGATGCTCGGCAATATGTCTGCTAATATTCCAAGAACAAAAATGGTGTCGGGTATTAGGAAAAACTTATTTGATAGCTCCTCCTATTTGTGCATCTTGATCGGTGATAATTGCTTTTGGTGCAACCCTATGCATGCATTTTAGCCATTAGGTGAACAACCAAATAAAGGTATCCTCTTGCTCATCAGCAAGTAACGCACAACCAAAGAGAATGGACTACCGATGATGATTTACACCTATGAATGGAGCAAATGGTAGGCTCAAATAATTGGTTTATATGTGACGTCGAACACCACTACATCTCCAAAACTTAAGTAAGAAGATATTGCTCTCCCATCAGCCCAAAACACGCTCCTCATATTCCCCGACTAATCCAGCTCTATGGAAAAGTAAAATTATGGATCGATTTCCTTCCTATCTTGAAAATTCTTTATGATGGATATGCATTCATTGCCAATATTGTTCTTCCTAATAGTTCTGATGTGATCAATACATTGTTGTGTAGTAATATATTCTTCATGAAGACTCTTGGACAGAACATTATACACTCGAGCAATAGTAGGAGCCATTCTTTCTTCACTCAAATTCTCAATAATTCTCTTGAAAGTCTTCGAGCGATGTCTTTGTCTGTGGGAATAATGATTAAACACTTTATCAGGGCTCGATAATAGATGGGTTGGGTGCTCTCCCTCAAACTTCGTGACAATCCATGTCTTGGAGGAAGTCAACTTAATCTTCATTCTTGCGGGACAATCCACTCTAGTATCTGGACGGCGATTGACAAGTAAGACTTCAAAAATTGCCTATAGGTTATTTGAATTAATTTCTCTTGACTTTCTTGACTTATCGGCTGTTTCCTTGCAGATTCCAAAACCTATTTTTTTACATAAGAATTGTAATAGTTGTATGCCTCCTCAAATGTAGCAAATTTTTTTCCCCTCGTATGGTGCCTCTCCTATGAAAGTCATCTCATTCGGACCTACAAGAGTTGTATGCAATTCACCATCAACATCCATAAAATTTTGGGTATAATTTTCACTTAGTCTAATGGGTAGCACATCACCTGTTTCAACATTCATTGTCCTCTCGTAACCCTGAAACATTCAAAGAAGTAGCAATTTACATGGCAGAGATTAGAACTAACATGATGTAAATTAGAACTAACATAGCAGAAATTAAAACTAACATAGCAGAAATTAAAACTAACATGGCATAAATTAGAACAAACATAGTATAAACTAGAACTAACATGACATAAACTAGAACTCACATGGTATAAACTAGAACTCAAATGGCATAAATTCATAGCTAATAATTATTTAATTAATTTGAATTGAATCTATGATGTAGACGTCAAAATTTTCCTATATGTTCCCGCACGCAGCTCGAGACAGAGAGAAGATGATAAACATCATTATCAAAGTAAAATAGGATTATCTGACACTGACAAGCGCATGAAGTGAGTCGACGAAGTGTACGAATCAACGGGACGACAGAATAACGAAAAGACGATTTGATCAGGAGTTATGATTTCACTCATGAAAGACGAAGTGTCACTCATGTCTCGTCTACTCTACGTATGATTTACCCATGGGAGATTGTAGATCTCTTCTACGGATTTCCAACGCATTTTAAATCGCGTCATTCCGAGATCAGACCGAGAAATTACAGGAAAACTATCAAGGCACGCAAAACGGCATCTTGGTCGAAACCGATACGCATGTCGTGTCTCAACCAAAACCGAGATACAAAATGTGTCTCGGCCAAGGGCTTTGGCTGAGACACATGTTGTGTCTCGGGCCTGATAAAGCTATTTTAACCATGATTTGCTTCAAATATGAAGAAGCTCAAAAGACAAAAGTTATATATCTCTTCATTATCTTTCCAATGCATCTTAGATCACCTTATTCTGAGATCGGACATGAAAGTTAGAGCCAAAATAACCGAGATGGTCGAGGCTATTTCACACCTGCAGGACACCAATGATGTCTCACACATTTTGGTCATTATGTGATTCGAATCTAAAGAAGCTCAAAAGATAAAAGTTGTAGATCTCTTCATCATCTTTCTAATGCATCTTGAATCACTTCATTCTGAGGTTAGATGAGAGAGTTAGATGTAAAACAACAGTATGACACCAGTCGTGTCTTAGCCAAGACCGAGACACACCTTGTGTCTCGGCCTTGGCCGAGACACACCTTGTGTCTCGGCCTTGGCCGAGACACAAGGTATGTCTAATGCTTAGAAATGCTATTTTTCGCTCGCTAACCACCTGAAAACCAGTTTTTCGTTAAGATTTTAGGATTTCTTCAGCCCGAAGTTTCTCCAACTGATTTGAAGTTATCTTGGAATGTGGTTAAGTGGTTATAACTGAGGATGAGATTAAATCGGTCGTTCTTATCCGAACACAAAGCTTCTGAAACATATAAATATAGCCCTAGGGCCTTCATTCACACAGAGCCGAAATTCTCGAGTCTTGGCAAAGCCCTGTCAAATTGAAGTGTGAGGAGCACGAATTTCAGAGAGAAGAAAGAGATCTTGGCAAGTTCTTCAGCACAAAGAGGAGAAGAGTTCGAGAGATCTACATTCCGTTCATCCATTTCCCTTGAGATTGAACCTAGCTGTGATTCTTGAGAAGATTGATTATCTCACTGTTGCCGAGATAGTCACTTTAATTTCTTATTTCCTTTGCAAGGCAACGAAATCTTTGTTCGGGTCTAATCAGTTGGTGGTCCACGGATAAACCCTGGCACCGACAAAGATCCCGCGCAAGCAGAAGATCGATAAACGATCTCTCTACGTGTTTTCTCAGGAAGTCATCTGTTTTATTTTCATTGTGTAAGGAGACTTATAGAAGTCTTTCTTTTTTGAACTTATTATAACGGCTGAAGTTGTAATGAGTCCCGCAATGAAGAAATAAACTTTCGACGTGAACGTATGACAGATGCAACAAGCAACGAATAGAGATTCAAATAAACAAATCAAAAGCTCTAACATTAAAACGAATTGAGCAATAAGTTGATAACATATTATCTTGGGTGCTTTGAAAGAGAACTTCTATCCTAGAAGTAAGATCAGCCTAAATTTGAATTCCATCTATCCTAGATCTGATAAGATATTTTCACCCTAAATTTGATAAATTATATCTGCTTATAAAATTATGGGTTTTCTCACTCTAACAATAGCATTTTAAGGTATAAGTATCTTGGATCTCTTACAAATGGTATTACAGTCAACCCCATCTGCACATTCAACCAAACAATTAATGGCCAAACAAAACAATACCAAAAAACAAGACATTTTTATTCAAATTTTTCACAACAGCCAGCTTTAAGGACATTTTTATCCAACAATACCCAAAAACGAGACAATTTTCTGAGCAGATTTGATCAAAAAGGTAAGGGGAAGTCGGCGAGGGTGTTCGTCGTCATTGAAAGCGGGCGAAGGGGGTAGCAGATAGGGGGT